GTGTGTGTGTGTGTGTGTGTGTGTGTGTGTGTGTGTGTGTGTGTGTGTGTGTGTGTCCGAGGGAGTTGTAGAGTTATTACCACATTGAAATGCAGCACAACACTGATGGCATTTAGCCCATCATAAAATCCCAACACACCAAATCAACAATGTAGCGCTGTACTTCAGCAAACTATTCTACGAAGCCATATCTCTGGGGTATATCTTGTCATCAAATACTTGACATGAGAACTGGAGTTGTGCTTGCAAGTCTATTCCTCCAGTGTGACATGAATAGCAGTTGTGTGTGATACTTGGCATAGACTAAAGCAGCAATCTGAACAAGCTTCTGGTTGTGTAAAGAAATAAAAAAAATGCTAGTGTTTCAGGGGATCACCTGAGTAAAAGCCAGAACAAAGTCAACACAGCTCCGTGTTGTTTTGATGCTCATTCTGATTGGGAAAAACAGAGTGCTGGATGAGTTTTAACTGCATCCAGCATAGCTGCTTTAAAACGCTATGTCTTTTTTTTTTTTTTACTCTTTTTTACATTTCTATCTAACAAGAAACAGAGTTTAACATTTTTTGAGAGCAGCTTGTTGGATTTGGCTGAGCAGTATAGCTAATTTATGGCTCAATATAAGCTTTCATCACGGCAGGCTGAAGCTGAAAGCTGTGCTGGCTTGCGGCAGAGAGGGGGAACAGAGCAAAGCCCCTTAAAATGTAGATATAGCTAGAAAGAAGAGGCTCAAGCAGGTCTTCACTGTAAAACTAAAAACAGATCCTACAAATAATCACCCCTAATCACATTTTTACATACAGCATATACTGTACATTTTAAATGAAATGGCCTGCCAAAAAGTGTCTACAGCTTTTAACAAACCCTGACTTTTTATCTAGTTATAAAGTCTCTTAGAGCATTGTATTAAACGCATCACCTCCTACAGTAATTACAATTACAGGGTTTCTACAGAATAGCACAAAGCGTGGCAGAATGATAGTTTAGGTAATTAGTGCTTGTCATTAATAGACAAGTTGAAATTTAAGGGAAAACCAGACTAAATAGAACAGCAGGAGGTGTATACACACAATCAGACTTTTACCTTCCAATCATCCGTGTCATTCTGATACTGTTAAAAAATATATATTGAAAAAAAAGGTTTGATTGAATCTGAATCTTATATCTGGTGGTCAGCATACAAGGACAAGGTGCAGTGGTTGGTAGTGTGTTGTGCTAGGAACAACTTGTCACTCAGAATCCTAAAAACCAATGAGATGGTCATAGACTACAGGAACAGGAAGACTGCCTCTGCACCACTCAACATCAAGGATGACAGCGTGGAAACCTCTCCGGTTGGACAGCACTACAGCAGTGGTTAAATAGGTCCAGCAGCGACTCGACTTCCTGASAGGACTCAGACGGAACAACTTGGAGACCAAACTGTTGGTAGCTTTCCATCGCTTATCCGTAGAGAGTGTGCTGGCAAATGCTATCGACTGTGTGGTACGCCGACTCCACCATGGCTGACAAGAAGAGGCTGCAGGGGGTGATCAAGACTGCTGAGAAAATAATGGATTTTCATCTCCACTCCCTCGACAATATTTCCAGCAGCTGCTATCTATCCAGGGCAAAGATGATCTTCAAAAACCACCTTCATCCTGGTCACCACCTGCTCAGGCTCCACCAGAAGGTACAGGCGCATTAAGAGCCACACCAACACACTCAAAAAAAGTTTCTTCCCATGGGCCATCCAGACTCTGAACACTAGCTAAACATCCTAAGTGTAATAAATGCTTTATTATTGGTTTTGTCTCTGTATATACCGTACATATTGCTGTGGTCCTATATGTTTTATGTTCTGTTTTYTATCTTGTACGGGCTCATGCAATGACAAGACTATTCTTTTCTGAAAGAGTGTTTATTGTTGAAGCACCACTGGCAGCAGTTTCAGTCACAAAGATGTTTCAAGTGTTTGGAATTTTAAGAAGGAACAATGACTCCAGTGATATTTGGATTTCAAACTACAGCAAAAACATCTCTGTACTGAGTCAGAAATGATTGGCATCACTGCATTGATCACGCTCTTGTTCATGGATATATTACCTAAGAAACAAATGACTGGGAGTCCTACACATTCACCACATATTCATTACTAAGCTTAGTGGATTTAGTGATAAATGAGAACTTCATAGGCTGGAGGGAGATAATGATTTCTAATGCAATTAAAAGGCTATAACCATAACAGCTCAAGTAATAGGCTTGGGTTTTATTGGAAAGTTTGAGCAACTCTTGCTGGTTTCTCAAGCTCTGTGATATATTTATGGCTTTTATTTGTTGGGAGGGTGCTGTTTTGTTGTAAAGAAAAAGATTAAAATGAATAAACAACAACCATTAGATGGCAGTTATTTCAGTTTGGAAATATCAGTGTGGAGCTTTAAAACTGCTAATTTTCTGAACCTAACCTGGACAGTGATGATGACGGTGGTGGTCGTGAACATCTGGTTATGTTATAAAATGGAGAATCACAGACTCAGACACAAACATGACAGGATGGTAAAATGGATTTATGTGAGTGAACTGAGCTCAAGACCCCATGAAGATCAAGTTTTGTGTGTGTTTTTGAACAAACCACGACTAAATCTGGCTTTTTTCCTTGACACTTAAGTCTCACTCACCTGCACATTTGAGCTCCTCCTAGATAGATATCAGTACATGAGCAGCATAAAGGATTATTTCACACTTTTTGGGAGTTTGAGGATATCTTGCACTCCTAAACAGCATATGATTACAAGTTTATACTCTTTTCTGCTCGATTTGAAACCAGAAAGATGAAGCACCTAATAAAATAAATTTTAGATTTTGTTTAACATCTCCACATCTACACACCACCTGCTTTGGTCTTTTTACTGRAAGTGATATCAAGTTGTTTTTTGAAGGAGACATGTCATGCTTCACATTTAAATCATTCAGTTGGGCTCTCCATAATGTGGAACTGCAATGCTTTGGTCTGAATTCAGACTTCATTTAGAAGTTACATTGCAAAGTCTGTGACATAACAGAACATCGTAAAAAATACAGAAAATGTAATGGGTTAAAAAATGTAACTTGGACAGAATCTAAAGATATCTTTGCAGCACCTGGGGAGATTAAATTCAAATTTGTGCACTCCTAGAGACCCCAAGTACACAGCAAAATGCATTTAACGGCTCAAAAAGTGGATTTTGCATAATATGTCCTCTTTAAGTCCAAAACGGGGGAGCAAAATCCCCAAGTTTGCACCGCTACTTTCAACAAGTGGGAGCAGGTGCAGCACTTGTTTCACTGATATGATYCCGATGATTGTGGCGAAAACAATTCAGGCCATATAAAGGAACTTGTGAATAAAATGTGTTAAGCTCTTACTGTTTTTTTTAATGAATTTTCATGTAGTTTGCAGGATTGAAAAGGTTTGACTAAAGCATTGGAGGAAACCTTGATTTGACAAAAAGTCTTGCAAATAAACAAAAACACCACAAATAGTAGCATTATTGATTCACTGTTCACTGAGAGCGGCTTCAGCCAAAAAAGAGGCAAAGGAAAACCTTGAAGCCATAGAAAGTGGCGCAGAATAAAAGAATAAAAAGCAAATATTGTGGCCACAGTGTGTACAGTACACTCCGAGGACAAGAGAAGTGCTGCCTTGCAAAACGAGTGTGTGATAGATCAAACAAGGTGATACCGCCTGCAGCCTTGGAAAAYTACAAAACTGATTGAAAGTTGTGGAGAAAATGTCAATGCTGGAAATGTGCAGAAGCAGGAAAAAAAATGAATAAAACTGAAAGTACTTGTGAAGAGTGTGACTTGGAAAAAAAAAGCATGGATGCCATCTATGTTTATGTGTGTGTGTGTGTGTGTGTGTGTGTGTGTGTGTGTGTGTGTGTGTGGCATCTGACTGACCTGTGAGCACAGCCTTGGCAGACGGTTCAGCCAGATCCAGGGCGGACTTTCCATCCGTGTTGCGGATGTTGGGGTCAGCTCCGTGCTGCAGTAACACTGTACAACAACAGGGCAGACACAGACAGTAGCTCAGCTCCTGAACTGACATGCAAACTCCTCGACAAACACCTCTTCCCAGTCCTCTTCCTCCTCCTCCTCCTCCTCCTCTCCTGTACACCGCTCTGCCTGAACCTGCTTCTTTGTCCCCCGCTTCATCTCCTGCTGTCCCTCTTCCTCCGCTGCTTGTGTCTCCTGCACCTCCGGGCAGCGATTCAGCGTGTCCCGCTTCATGCTTCTCTCCTCCTCCTCCTCCAGCTGCTCCTCCTCTGTTGCTAGTGCTGCTTCCCCAGCTGCCCCCAACTGCCCCGCGAGTCATGCCACTGATGTAAACAGACATGCCACGACAAAAAGAAAAACAACAGTGGAGCTGATTAAACGTGACGATCCCCGGAACCCATCACAGTTCCGCGGAGGAGAGACGGGGAGTGGAGCGCCGGACCGGACTGAGAAGAGGAGTAAAAAAAAATAAACAAGTGCGGGAGGAAGAGGTCGGCGACTACCGCTCATCGAGGCATCGGCAGCGGTAAACAGCAGCGAGGCGGTGTGAGCGGAGAGACTCTCGCCTCTCCGACTGACTGAGCGATGCAGCGGAGAGGAAGATGAGAGGAGAGGGGAGAGAGAGAGGGAGGGAGGGAGAAGATGGGGACAGGGAGAGGACAGAGGACAAAGTGAAAAAAAACAAGAGGATCAGATCAGATGAAATAGAGAAGAGAAGAGAAGAGAAGAGAAGAGAAGAGAAGAGAAGAGAAGAGAAGAGAAGAGAAGAGAAGAGAAGAGAAGAGGACTTCTGTGCCTTGCAAACAGGTATGAGCTGAATAACAAACTCTGCCTGCGCTCAGTTTTGTTGTAAATTAGCTCTTTTGAGGGCACCGATGTCAATTCTCTCCCTGCCTTCGTCTCCACCTCACTCCCCAGTGCTGTGACTGCTGAGCAGCTCCCCCTGCACATGCCCTTTGACTCGTGCACACTTCACTCTGCGCTGCTTAAAGCTGCCGCGGTGGGAAAGGAGACAACCAGGCATATTATAATATGCACACAAGCATGAGCACATAAATTGATCCTGCCRTCGGAGCGATGCAGACCTTTGTCACCTCACAACAAAAATATGATTTAGCTCTGCACCAGCTCCCCCTGCACCCCATCTGCATACATCAYAGGTAAAGATCTGCTCATCTCCATGCAGAGACATGACAGCTTTAAAAAAGCAACACCAAKAATAAAACTGTTCATATTTGCAATACATTTTTGTTTTAATACAGTCAGTTTTTAATTCTGAGTTCAGTATTGTCTCCATGAGCCTGTAATAGCTGCTAAAGCCCTCACTGAACAACCCAAATCCTCCCTTTTTTTGGGTGCAGGATTAGTTTTTGTGGCAGTGTCACATTTGCAGTCTTAGGACTGTGTTCGATGTCAGTGATGAGCCAGAAGCTAACTGAGCAAGAATAAACTCACATATATAAAAACTGGTTTCCCAACCATGTTTTATCTGAGGCATAAGTGATGAACTAATTAAAAAAAGACTAATTTTAATGAGGAAAAAAAAGAAAGTTTATCTCTTGTATAACCACTTATTGAAATAAAAAGGGGAAAAAACTGAGCTGCAGAGTGTTTATTCTTAGCATAGAAAAATGTCACCTAAAGTCAAAATAATGACTATAACGCCTGACTCAGCAGTCACACAATAATAATGTCACCAATAAGCTGAGGTGCATAAAGTGCTTAAAATAAATAAGTAAAGGTAAAAAAAACAAACCTTAACAGAAACTGACTTTGGTAAAAATGAATTTCACTGATAAAAGTCGTAAAACTGCTCACAATGATCAGGAAAGTAAAACTTCTTCTTTTACACACTCTAAAAAATGAAGTGTTGAATTTACTTAACCAGTAGGGGTAGGAATATTTTACTATCTCACGATTCAATTCGATTTTGATTTTTGGGGCCACGATTCGATTCAAAATCAACAATGTGAGCCCATTTGTGTTCTTAAAGTGTTATATCTTCAATTTGCAAACCTTGCACACAGTGAAGCTCATATCAAACTCAGATTCATTCAGTAAAAACCAGCATGAGCCCAAATCTTTGCCTTTGATAAAGACGGGGCCGGTTGAATCTCTCTTCCCTCTATTTTTGTAGTTTCCACTCTGTTTTAATGCTTTTTGCGCATGCATAGGTTCCAGAAGCAGCTGCGTGGTGCCGTCAGGTCGTCCTACAGAGTTACAAAATGAAGGCTGACAGCCATTGGATTTGATTTATTTATATTTCTTTAATCAATTTTTGATCATTTTAAAACGATTCTGAATCGTTGTAAACGAGAATCACGATTCTGATGTGATTCAATTTTTTGGTGCAACCCTGTTAACCAGTTTATGTCGACGGGCTCCACAAAATCGAGTTCAGTAAACATAATGCAATTTATAAATTTGCTTTAAAAGAAAATGTATAAAAAGCTCAATTTGCTCAACTTGGTTTAGTGGAACAAGATGACGTAACAAATTCATATTTTAGAGTGCATAAACAACACCTTTCCTGATGAGTTACAGTGATTTTTAAATTTGTAGTGTTTAAAGGAAAGCTAGATTTTACAGGTAAGTATAATTTTATGTTTTGAATGTAACAAAATAAAAGTACAAGTTATGATTTCAAAAAATACCACAGATCCTCAAAAAATTACTTAAGTATGAAAAATCTGAAGTATATGTACTTTGTTACTAAACACTCCTGTGAATAAGGTTATGGCTTATATAATGCAATTTTACCATAAATATCACATTTGTTTTAGTTTTTCTTTATTCACAGCCTATTTTTAATTATTTTATATASTGGTATTTTGATTTTCCTGAAGATTTCCTGGCGCCAGCTCCTTTGGACAACAATCCTTTTCTTAAAATTGAATAAATCGCCTCCTTAGAGGATGTGTGTTCCTTCTTCATTTGGCCTAAAGCTGAACGGTCTGCAGGAAAGCTGAAATGTTTGGCAAATAGCAAAAACCGATGTCGAATTAGTGATGAGTTTATGATGTAGCTGGCGGTTCTGTGCTGCTATTTTTAAACAGGTGAAGGGGAAACCATTCAAAAGATTATGCAAAACGATCAGCATCAGCTCAAATAATTGTTAAGGCGATTATGTAAAAACGCAGAAACAAGCAGAGATTTGAAGACAGAGAGAAGCAGGCGTCAATTTCATTTTTATGCTCTTATCAAAAAAAACAAACAAAAAAAGAAAGATTCAACAATCTTGCCAGCAACAGGAGAAACCCTAGAAAATAATAGCTTGAAGAGATGCGGTTGTGGAAACAGATTTGTTTTTGTTTGTTTTTTTCCTATTCAATGAGGACAGCTTGTCCAGAGTTAACTCCTGATCTGCGGCTAAATCTTTAGCCTGGCAGGACGACAGGATGCTAAAACTCTGGCCAGACCACAATCCACTAGAAGTCATGTGATTTTTATTTTTATTTATTTTTTCATGCTTTGGCTTGCCTGTGGACTTGCAAAGCATGCAAAGATTTAACAAAAAAGTGGATTAATTAAGGGGATTGCGGTTGCTTTAACTAAAAAACTAATTCCGCAGAAAAATTGTCAAACTTGTTAAAAAAAATCCTCCCCGGTGAATAGACAAAGCGTGAAATGAAGAAAAAAACAACACTTACATTTTCAGATTTTTCAGTTCAAAATGCATCGTTTCAAATTTTTAAATCCACTTGTTATCAATAGCACATGTTTTCTTCATCTTTTTTGCTACACAGGAATGCTGAACCCCCCTCCTGTTAGTGCAGTCAAGGACGTTCGCAACCAGAAGAGGAATGATGAGTAGAAATGTGCACGCTGGATATTTGTGCCAGAGGGAAGAGGGGAGGAAAAAAAAGAAGAAAAAAAAGCACTGATGAACCTCACAGCCCTGAGGGTGCCAGATTTTCACATTATCTCACATCTTTGTAATGTGACCTAAAAACCTTTGATGTTTGCACCTGCTGCAAATCACTTCTTATCATCAGCTTCCCTCAAAATCATATTATTTTTTTTTATTTTTTTTATTTTATTTTTTTTAGAAATTGAAGCACTTATTTTCCTCTAATGGGAACAATATACAGTGGGGAAAATAAGTATTTAGTCAGTCACCAATTGTGCAAGTTCTCCCACTTAAAAAGATGAGAGAGGCCTGTAA